GAGTGTCAGATACTAAATTCCCAAACAACAAACGTTAAAATGGCACAGACAACAGTAGAATTCATTAAGACAGCTTCGTCAATTCTACCTGAATTTGACGGTAAGCAAGAGAACCTTCATAGTTTTTTAGATGCTCTTGATATCCTAGAACAAATCAAGGATAGTCATGAAGCCATAGCGATTTCAATGATAAAAACCAAGCTAAAAGGTACAGCAAGAAACTTTATAGGAAATGAAAATTCAATCCGAGAGATAAAGCAAAAATTAAAATCGACTATTAAAGGTGAGTCAGTAGAGGTTTTGACAGCAAAACTACTGAACATACAGCAACGTAGTAAAACTGCCAACCAGTACACTACTGTAATAGAGAAACTAACCAAATCATTAGAAGGAGCATACATATCTGACAGATTAACCTCAGAATTAGCAACCAGATATGCTACACAATCAGCTGTAAAAGCCATGTGCAAGAATTGCTCTAACGACAAGGTAAAAATGATAATGCAAGCAGGAACGTTCACATCCATGAACGAGGCTATATCAAAATTCACAAACAGTTGTACTGAAATAACGGGTAGCTCAAACTCAGTTTTGCACATACGCCAACATGGCTACTACCGCGGTAGCTTCCGCAGAGGTTACCAAGGTAACGGCTATAGAGGTTATCAAGGTAATAGATTCAGGACACCGCCCCGATACAATAATAATTCAAGACAAAATAATCACTTTCAAAACAGGAAAAGAAAGTTTAATAATCAATCGCGAACTAGTCGCAATGATACTCGCAATGTTCGTAATTGCAACCAGCAGGAAAACCAGCAAACCCCACTTCAACAGTAGATAACAAAAATGTGCGTGTACTTAATCTACACCTAAATAGCTACATATCTTCCAAAACTTCTTTAAATAATTCAATTTCAACTCTCTTGATAGATACAGGAGCAGACATATCAATTATAAAAAAGGGTCAAATTGATAGTAATATTACAATTAATAATTCACAAATAACAGATTTGAAGGGAATTGGTCAAGGAATAACAAGCACTCTAGGTACAGGCCTAGCAGATTTAAAAGGAGATGATATCTTAATTAGACACAAATTTCATATAGTAGAGGACAATTTTCCAATTCCATGCGATGGAATTCTAGGGTTAGACTTTATAAAGAAATACAATTGCATTTTAGACTATCGAAAAGATGAAGATCGATTAATATTGAGACCTTACGACTTCCCAGAAAATATAATAATTCAAATGGCAAATAGACCAACTATCAATACAATCACAATACCAGCTAGATCAGAAGTAATTCGACAAATTAACATAAAAACTGACAATCCTGAACTTTTTATTCCCCATCAAAAATTAACAGAAGGCATTTTTATTGCTAACACCATAGCAAATAAATATCAAACGTTTGTTAGAATCATAAACACCACAGACAAAAACGCAGTTATTCAAAATTATAATGTAAAAGCAGAAAATTTAAATGACTACATACTAATTAAAAACGCTTCAGAAAATAAAAATAA